AATATCTACTCATTCATGTTTTTGTACAACTTTGCATAACTTTAAGAATTGTTTTAAATAAACAAAGCAATTATAATAAAATAGAACTAAAATAGGAATGTAATTTTATCTCATTTAATATAGTGAAAGGGAACTTTACTTGCCTGTATGAGCTCCCATGGCGAAAACTTTGCCCACAGATACTACAAAGATGAGGCTTTTCTCCACTATGGATTCTCAAATGTTCCAACTTTGCATAACTTTAAGAATTGTTTTAAATAAACAAAGCAATTATAATAAAATAGAACTAAAATAGGAATGTAATTTTATCTCATTTAATATAGTGAAAGGGAACTTTACTTGCCTGTATGAGCTCCCATGGCGAAAACTTTGCCCACAGATACTACAAAGATGAGGCTTTTCTCCACTATGGATTCTCAAATGTTCTTTCAAAGTAGTTCTGCATCAAACAAATAAACAAACAAGCACACAAATAAATAAAATATTTAAATATAAAATAAATAATATGCATACAGTTTAAAATTTTTTTAGTTTATTTTTATGTGTATGTATTTTCCTGTAATGCATGTAAGTATAATTGTGTCATGCAATACCCAGAGAGGCTAGAAGAGGGTGCTGGATTCCCTTGTACTGGAGGTATAGATAGTTGCTAGCTGCCAGGTGCCAGGAACCAAACCCGGGTCCTCTGCCAGAGCAGTCAGTGCTCTTAACTTCTCAGCCATCTCTCCAGCACTATAATAAAGTTCTTTCAACACTAATGTACATACTAAAGACAGATTTTTTAAAAACTTAACTAGAATGGGCAGCTACTGTTTAACTATTACTGCTACAAGTATTTTACCAGCAATTCCTATAATTCTAACACTCAGTTTCTCCACATATCTAAAATGCTGAGTAAAGATAGACGACGTTATTTAAGGGTAGAGAAGGTAAATGTAACTGACTTCCACAGGTTTGTTTTTTTGTTTTGTTTTTTGTCACTCTGAATTGGCTTAATGTCAGTCCCCTATCAGCACATTTTATTTATTTATGTTTTAGTATTTTGTTATTTTTTTATTTTATGTGTATGAGTGTTTTGCCTGTATGTATGTTAAGTGCAACATGTGTGCAATGTCTGCAGAACCCAGGAGGGTGCCCTGGAACTGGAGTTACAGACAGTTGTTAGCCACCATGTGGGTGCATGAGGATCTTCTGGAAGAACTGCAAGTGTTCTTAATCACTGACCTACCTCTCCAGCCCCCTGAGAGGATTTTAAAAAGCTGAATATGAAATGCAGTTCAGCCAGCAGATGGTGCTCTTTTACAAGATCCACCAACATTCTTGATAAGGGGTATGCCAAGCTATGTGGAAAAAAACAGTGAATAGTCCCTAGACATCTACATATAAAGTAGGTATAGTAAAAAGATAGATAAGCTATCTTTCTTTTCTTTAGCATATTTTGTTTTTTGATTTTGCAGAAAGAACTATAAAGGGAAGACTAAATTTGAAAATCACATAGTAAATTGCTTAATTTTTCTAATCTTTATGTGATTTCATATAAATGTAGCATAATAATTTTCCAACTCTTTTACTATATCCATCATTTATTTTATGAAAGCAGCACTTCTAATTCTAAGGCCATGAAGCTTTTATATATTGAAGGAAGGATACATTTTTATTATTTTCACAGTGTTTTACAATGTAGCCCAGGCTGGTCCTGAACTCAAAATCATCCTGCTTCAGTCTCTGCATGCTGGGATTACAGGCATGTGCCACCAAAAAACACATATGCAGACTAAGAATTAGAACATTACCATACTTTCAACTGCATCCAATTTTCTCTTAAATTTCATCCTTCTCCACCATCCTCAAAAATAGCCACTTACGCTCAGCATGCCTTTCGGTTTTATTTCACACACCTTACTAGACAATACATCACATTTTTGAAAAGCTGAATAGCTAACATAAATGTAAATGTGTTGCCACTATAAAATTTTAAAGGCTCTAAAAGGTAATATGAACAAGGACTATAGATAAAGCCTGACTGCAGTTTTTCTAAGAATTAACAAGTCCATTTTGAAGCACCAGTGGGTGAAGAGACAAATAAATAGTGCATTTAACCAACCACCTAAACCTGCAAATCCTGCTTTCTGCATAACTTATTCAATATTTTATAATTTCTTTTCCTTTTATATTTTAAACTAAAGCATAACTCAGTTATCTTGTGTTCTGAGTTACTCCCTACAAGACTTAGTCATATTACCCCCTACAAGACTCAGTGCTGGGGCACAGGTTGGGTTTTGTTTTATTTTGGATTTTTTTTTTTTTTTATCTTTTTTTGAGACAGAGTCCCCCTGTAGCCCCAGCTGTCCTGGAACTCTCACTATGTAGACAAGGCTGGCCTTGAACTCACAGAGATCTGCCTGCCTCTGCCTTCGAGTGCTGGGATTAAAGGCGTGTGCCACCACGCCGGGCTGCTTTTTGACTTTTTATTATGAAAAGAAACAAATCCAGAAGTAGAGAGAAAAGTATAGGATCCCATATGAAGCTGTGACCAGCTTGTTCAACTGTAAACTTCTCCCTGCAAAACTGAATTTTTTTTTTTTTTTTTGAGACAGAATCACCTAGTAGCCCCAGCTAGCCTGAACTTACTAAGCAGGTATGTTTACCTTTCTCTTACTGATTTCCCACAAATAAAGCAAGTCCATTTTCTCTTTCCACCATGAGTACATTCTATATGGCGTTTCAAATTTCCAGTGTCATTGAATTGGCGACCACATATATCACATGGAAAAGGACCTAAAAAAAATAACATGCATTTGGAGTTTAAAGATAGGTATTAAGTTATATTTAATAGATGTGCCATTAATTCATTCCCACCACTATCAGCATAAGTCTAAGCAAAATCTGTAATAACTGAAATTATTTGTTTATATTTTCCTCCCTTCTAGACTGTTTATTCCTAGAAGGTATTTCTAGACCTCTTAGAGCTAAGTACAAGGTTTAACATCCAAGAAGTATGCAAGTTCTGAATAAACGAGTGTGTTAATACATTCAAATGGCCAATTTCTAGTTTCAAATTAGACTGAAACAAAGTAAGAAACATTACATACACGATTTCTATGAAAAGAGTAATGAGAACTTTTGAAAGAATAAAAAGGTTAACAGTTCATGATTTGAAAATATATTGCTGTTCCCACATAATATATCAACGACACTAAGACTTAAAAAGTACTGTGGTACATTTCTGTTCATTCTTATAAAACTAAACGTACACGCCTCATGGTAATGTTGATCTTACCTGGTTTATGAATTTCATCACGATTTACCAAACAAACAAGTACTGTGGTACATTTCTGTTCATTCTTATAAAACTAAATCTACACACCTCATGGTAATGTTGACCTTACCTGGTTTATGAATTTCACCACGATTTACCAAACAAATAATTGGAGACAATAAGTTCTACTGAATATCAGGCTAAAAGAAAAAAATCAGATGGAAGATTCTTCTTGCAGTAAATGGTGATTAACACAGAGACCCACAAATGGTCAACGTGCAAAAAACAGGAGACTGCAGAGTGCTCAGCCATAAATGGGACACCTATAAAGCACCTCCCCTCTGAAGGCTCAGGGATCTTTGCAGAAGAGGGGCCAGAAAGATGGTAAGAGCAAGATGGTGGTAGATGAATACAAGCAAGCTGTGTTGTCTGGACACTACAGGGTAGCTGAACATATGAACCCACAGTGCTTATGATAGCATGCCCAAGACTTGTGCAAATCCAAACCAGACAGGAGCTCAGCATGGATGGGGGAGATGGGCTGGAAGCCCCAGCCCTAGCCCCAGCTGGGAATCTATTGGTTACTGATGGATGCTGGGAGAGGGAGAGTCAGTTTTCCCTACTGGTGTGATATACCTGGTAAGTTGACCAGACCCCAGGTATGAACCCAAGAGCACTTACGAGGTATGGATTAAAATCAGTAGGTCTTTGAAAAATAAAAATTAGATAAATAAAAGAAGTAATAGATAGGGGCTGGTGAGATGGCTCAGTGGTTAGGAGCACTGGCTGCTCTTGCAGAGAACCCAGGTTCAATTGCCAGCACCCACATGGCATGGTTAATAACCGTCCATAATTCCAGTTCCAGGGTATCTGACGCCCTCTTCTGACCACCACAGGCATTGCATGACACAGGTGCACTTACACACATGCAGGCAATACACTCATACACATAAAATAAAAATAGTAAAACATTTTAAGAATAAAAAAAACCTGTTAAATAATGGAGGATATGAAATCAGGGGTGAATGGGGATGGGCTGGAAAAGGGAAAAGGGGTTCTAAGCATGATCAAAATAAATTATATGAAACTCTGAAATCAATACAAAATTATTTTTAAAAAAGGAAAAAAAGCATGTGTGAAAAAAAGTATGGTCACTATAGCTCAAGAAACTGTATTTACAAGATGATGCCTCAGGATTTACAAAGATAAACTGAAGAAGGAGTTGCAATGATTAATTATAATAGCACAATAAAAGATTAAAGAGTTTGGACACTGGATTTCAGAAAAATAATTAAAAGCAAAACTGATCCTTAGCCATAGTAAATACCAGCATCTTTCTATAAAGTTAACCTCAGACACTGTATCATATCAAGTATGTTTAACATATTCTTATAAAAAATTTCTAATATTTCTTTGACTATGACATCTGACTCTATTACTCACTTAACAAATAGTGATTCATCCTAAGTACCATGAAAAATCCCTCAACCTTCTCCACACTACTAAAAAAAAGGCCTCCAAGAAGTTGGGGAATGGAAAGGCAGTAACTGTGAAGCTGAAAATTAAGATGGAATAATGAGCTAGGATGGACACATTTAAGTGAAGAGTTAAGCATCTACTCTTAAAACCTGCTACCAATATTAGCTCTCTACTCAGTTGAAGTCTCCAGGGAATTGAAGGAAGCACTAAAGGATTCAGATTCATGTTCAGTTACTTATTAGGGTTCTGCATGCCTTTAATCCAAGCTTTTAGGAGGCAGAGGCAGGTGGATCTCTGTGAGTTTGAGGCCAGCCTGGACTCCATAGCCAATCCAGGCCAGCTGGGGATGCGGAGACCCTGTGTCAGAAAGGACGGAAGGAAGGAAGGAAGGAAGGAAGGAAGAAAGAAAGAAAGAAAGAAAGAAAGAAAGAAAGAAAGAAAGAAAGAAAGAAACTCTTTTTACATTGAAATAGTGAGTTCAAGGCCATTTTGGTGTACATAGCATACATAGCAAGTTCCAGGCCAGCCAGAAGTACACACTGAAACACAGCCTCAAAAAAAAAACCAGAAAATAACTCTATTTTATTCTATAGTTGATACTCAGTTTTGCAAGGAGTCAAGCTTCTTTCAACTTTTTATTTTGTGAAGCTAAGTTAGAATCTTAACATTAAAGCAGATCTTCATAACAACTGTATACAGGATAAAATTATAAGATCTGGACTTTTAAGTCAGATTATTTGACTATAACTCTTATACTTACAAATAGAGATACATTAAAAATTCTTCTTCCTTAACTGTTCAGATTGCATAACACTCCCTCTGACTCAACAGAATATATAATGTTAACATAAGCAACATGAATAAATTTTTGTATAAATCAATAGTTTTCAAAGTGTGATCACTTTATCATCTGCACCAGCATCCTGTAAGAAACTGTAATGAGTATATTGAAGGGTCATACCCTAGACCTATAAAATCAAATACAAAGCTATCAAGCCATGCTTTAACAATCTCTTCATGTGATTACAACATGTACCAAATCTGACAAATCACTTACCTTAAGTTCACAAAAATTCACAGGAATGGAAATTTAAGAGTTGAGACTCAAAAGTGGCCCACCCTATATGTCATTAAACAGGCTTTGTTGTTGGCTCATTGTTTTTATTGTTCTGGGGATTAAATCCTGTGCCCTTGCATTTGCGCATTTGCTCTGGCACTGAGTCACAGCACCAGCCCCCACTGTTAATTAGTATTTAAGAGAAAAAAACAGAAATACTCAAGTCAATGAACTACATGGTTTATTTTTAGTCTATCTGATCTTTTCCTTAAATAATGATAAAAAAATGTAAATCCATTGTTTTATTTCAAAAACAGGTTTCTCAGAGGTTTTGAAAATAATAATTACAATGCTAGAAATTAACTCGCATTCAGAGAAAGACAATGCAAACTATGCCAAGCTCTACACTTAAGCACTTATCACATATTACCTTGTTTAATCCTCACAACAATATTTACTAACCTTCTTTCACAAATGTGGAACCTACAACTCTGTGAGGATCAGACATAAAGTAGGTGGTAAGTATGACAGAGAAAACAGCCAGGTTTCAAAGTCTTATACTTCATTACATCATACCATACCTATCAAAGTTTCTGTACTGGTAAGCATCAACTCTTATTAAATTATACAGTTACTGATTATTTGTAAAAATTTACATAATTTTTTTGTAAATGCTTTCCCTTGAGCATTTTCAGTAAGCTTTATAACTAAAGCTTAGCACATCAATTAAATCTTATTGCCCAGCATTTCTGCAACACTTCCCTTATTGAGACAAAGTAACCGTTTAACAAGCCATTAAAAAATCTGGTTAAACCACTTTTAGAAGCATCTTTTTCAAAAGCTCTAAAAGTTAGCCAATTCAGTATATACTTAAATACTAGTATACTTCCACTGCTGAGAAAATGGAGATACTATACAAGTTAATTTCAAAGTTTTACTACTAAATAAATAATATTCAACTAAACTTAGAATTACTACCTATTGTTCTTCAAACATTACTAAATGAGGGCTGGAGAGAGGGCTCAGGGTTAAGAGCACTGGCTGCTCTTGCAGAGGATCTGGGTTTCAGCACTGACATGGCTGCTAACAACCATCAGTACTTCAGTTTCTGGGGATCTGACACCCTCTTCTGTCCTCCATGGGCACTGCACAACATGGGTGCACTTACACACATACATGTAATATACTCATAAAACAAAAATAAATTATATATATGTATACATATATATAAAACTCAATGATATAGTAAATAAAGTTGAAATAGAAAATCAAGAACAGAAATGGAAGGAGAATCAAATACATTCATTATAAAAATCACTTTGGGTGATTTTTGGGGGATTCTGACAGCATGCCCAAGACCCATGCAAGCTCAAACTACACAAAATCCCAGAATGAGGAGAGAAGTAGGTACAAAGCTGAGGAACTACTGGCAATTGCTGCTGGTGGAAGAGGGAGAATCAGTTTCCATTAAGGGTATTACCCTGGTAGGCTGACCTGCTCCAAGGGTTGGACTCACACCCAAAAGTATTTGGAGAACACAAACTGGACTTGATAAGCTTTTTAAAATAAATAAAAGAGGACAAAAAGGTGGCGGTGGGTAGGAAAGTGGGAATGGCTCTGAGAGGAAAATGTTGGAGGGGAAGGGGCTGAATGTGATCAAAATATATGAAATTATCAAGGAATTAAGAAAAATTATTTAAGAAAAAAATTTATCAGGCCTAAGAGATGGCTCAGTTGGTAAAGTGCATGCCACCAAGTCTGATGACCTGTGTTAAATTCTCAGGACCACATGAGAGAAGGAGAAAATGGATTCCCCCAAGTTGTCCTATTATCTCCACAGGGACACACATAGGCACACTAAATAAATACATAATGTCTAAAAAAAGAATTCTCAAAGTTCAACAATAAGAAAACCAAACAACCTCACTTAAAAAATGGGCTAAATATTTAACAGATATCACATGAAAGACAAACAAATGACAAGCACATGAAAAGATGTTCCCCATCCTATCAGTGGTGCAGCCCATACTAAAACACTAAACACCAAACAACTATCATAATGGCTCAAACTCAGAACATTGGCAATAGTAAATGGTAAATGACAAAGTAATAAGAATGCTAATTCATTCCTGGTGGGAATGCAAAATGGTACAACCCCTTTGGAAGACTGTAAGACAATTTCTATCAAACTGAATTTATTCTAACAATCCAATTGAGTCTTTCTTTATGTTCCTAGGTTTTTATCCAAGAGAACTAAAAACTTATGTCCACACAAAAACTTGTACAGAGATAGCAAGTTTTGTAGCAATTATAATCACCCACCCAACTTGGAAGCTCAGTTTTAATAATTGTACAACGGCAGTAGGGATATGGACATCAGGGAATGCTAGGTCTGTGTGGAGGCAGGAGTACAACAAGAACTAACTGTACCCCCTCAGTTCTTTTAAAGAAAACCTGAACCTGCTTTTAGAGAAATATAGAGATTTTAGAAGGAAAAAAATGTAGTTCAAGAGTGGAAAGCTCTTCCAGGAACATGAAATAATCACTACTGTGACTGCTTACCCAGATGGAACTTTTCCTGATGCTTTAACCGTGCAAATCTGGATTTGAAATGTTCTTCACAATAGGTACACTTAAAAGGTTTATCTTGTGAATGCAGAATCATGTGTTCTTCCAAGTGTGGTCTTCGAGTAAAAGACTTCTTACAAATCTAAATGATAATGTATGTCAAATTTTACTAGTTTAATTCAGAACCTGAATTAAAATACAAAGTTCAAAATAAGGATAAATATAATGTCAAGTAAAGAGAAATTTTTCCCAACAAACAGAAAATTTATCAAAGTAGAATCAATTTTTAACTGTGCTGATGTGTGTGTGCAGAGGGGAAGTTGTAAGAATTGTGGCCATGAATTATGTCAAATTAGAACTAAAGATAGACAAATTTCAATTCATTCTATATCTAGCATGTCTATAAAATAATTCTAGACAGCAATTTCTTCTCTTAAACTATTAAATAAAACCAATTATATGACAAGAATACGATTTTCTCATTATCGCCATATATTTGATTAGAAATATGAATAATAGGGACTGAAGAGACAGCTCAGTGGTTAAGAGCACTGGTTGCTCTTGCAGAGAACCTAGGTTTGACTCCCAGTACCCACATGGTGGCTAACAACCATCCGTAACTCCAGTTCCAGGGAATCTGATGCCCTCTTCTGATCTCCATGGGAATTGCACAACATGGGTGCACCTACCTACTTGGAAGCAATATACTCATACACATAAAAAATAAAAGTAAAATAAAAAAAGAAACATGAATAGTAAAATCACAGAAAACCACTCAAAAACAGTACTTTAGGAGTGACAGAATGTAGGCTCATACATTCTTTGCTACTACTCCCACTGAGAAATACAGATGAATTCTTCTCCCCTTATTCTGTCCTGCTTCGTTCAAAGAACAGTATGCGGTAGAAGTTATGATCTGGGAATTCTGAGGCCCGACCATTAAAAGCCTTGAGTTCTCTCTAGACTTCTTGGCGCATACGTTCACTCTTGGAAGCTAGCTGCTATACTAGAAGTGGAAGGTAGTTCAAGTAGCTTTGTGAAAAGAATAAGGAGAAGAATGTAATCTCCTGTTCAGTAAGGTATTACCATGTTGCTAACCATGTGAGTGAGGCACTTTGGAAATGGTCTCAAACCAGACTGGATCATCCCATAACTTAAAACACCTAACTTACTTTGACTGACATAAGGAACACAAGAACTACCCAGCAACCCTAGTTCAGATTTCTGACCCACAAAAAGGTGAGCCACAATAAAATAGCGGTTTAAGGACACTTAGTTTCAGGGTGGATTATTAAACAGCAAGAGACAGCCAGAAATGGAGAGGTGATTTTAACACTGCACATTCTATGGCAGTAACGTCAAAAACCACATACACAACTCTAAATACATGACATAGTTATTGTGCTAAAAATATAAACTGTAGGAGGGGAGGAGAGAAAAAACAAAGATTTCTGCTTCTGAGGTCTATCATCTGAAAATTAACACATTATAGGCTAAATTTTGGGGGGGGGGTAACTTTATTCAAAAGTCTCTAAAAATGAAATAAACTAAGTTCCATTAACTTTGAAACCCAATTACCTTTCTTTCCAAAAAGGCAATATTACATTTATTTTGGATTTCTAATAGAAATTAAGATTTCTTACATCACATTTCCAACTCTCACTCTTAGTCTTCTTGATGGAAATAAATTCTTGTGCATTTTCAGGATGAAATCTATCAAAAAAGCAAGAAAGTATTATGAAATAATTATGTAAATCAAGTCAATATTCCATATGAATCTGTCAACAGTGATGCCAAGAGTCAGGTACTAGGCCAGTGTAGTGGTACCTGCCTGTAATCCCACACTAAAGAGTCTAAGACAGGAGCTGGTGCTGGGAGGCCAGGCTGGGCTACACAGCAAAACTGCTTCAAAAAACAATGAAGTAGGTATGATTTATTTGTGTTTATTTTTGTTTTTGTTGAGATAGGGTCTCACTTTGTAACCTAAACTGGTCTTAAACTTATGGCACTCCAACTGCCTCAGCCTCACAAGTGCTGGATTATAGGGATCAGTCACTGCACCGTTTCGTTACTGATTTTTTTTTTAAAAAAAGGTACATGTACTAAGAATATAATTATCATTTTAATAATTTTATATGTATACCCAAGTTTATAGAGAAATTAAGAATACTGTATTCAGGAAGCTATCTATTTACATATAGTCTATAAGTTTTCAAAAATTTAAATTTTTTAATTTCAATATTATAACAATATACTCAAACTTGCACATTAAACAAAACTGAAGGTAAAAAATTAATTTCCTAAAGTTTTAAATCCATGCATTTCTGAAAACGTACTTGTCAAACCCAGTACAAAAAAATGAGAGAACCAAAACACATCTTAAACTTTATATTATAGGCCATATTCCTCATTTTCTGTAGAAAGGCTCCATTCAACAACAGGAAAAAAATACTAACAAATGATCATTTGCAGTCCTTTTGGTAATTTGCTCTCTCTACAAAATGATTAAACAATGAAAGAATTACAAGTAAGTATACTAGAGATATTTTTAGTTTACTCATGTTTATATTAGAGGGCACAAAGAGGTATACTGGGAAGCAAGGTAATACTTGCCTCTTAACATGCTTGGCTAAAGTCTTCTTGCTTGCATGAAGTTTATTACAGTAAGGGCACTTGTGCTCCTTCTTATGAAATTCGGTCTCACTGCTGTGCTTCTTTCTGTGAACAGTTAAGTTAGACTTTGTCGAATAACGCTGGTGACAAATATCACACTCAAAAGGCTTCTCACCTGTGTGCACACGGGTGTGGCTCTCATATTTTCCTATAAAAGAGAAAATTAAGTTCAGCATATCTGCTGTGTTTTGATTGAAATTTCAGTGGAATAAAAACACGTGGCTTAATAGACAATATTTTCCACATGGACAAGCAAAAAAAAAAATTTACCTAAATTTCTAACTCAGATGAACCTCAAAAACTTAATGCTTTGAGCACACTTTTCCTCAGAACCTCAGGTCATTGAAAAACATATTCATAGCATGTACTTCAAAAATCTTAATATTTGGAAATTTTTCTAAAAACTGCTAGCAAATTCTCAGAGCTTAATTTTTTTTTAAATATTGTGGCTACAGAGAAGGTTCAGCTGTTCAGAGTACTGGTTGCTCTTGTAGAATACCTGGGTTTGAATGCCAGCACCCACACTGAGGTTAACAATTGTCTATAACCCCAATTCCAGGGGATCCAACTCCCTCTTCTGGCCTCCACAAGGCACTGCATGACACAGGTGCACTTATGTACATGCAGGCATGACACACACACATTAAAAAAAATAGATTAAAAAAACACTTAAATGGCTGTTTTTAAATGTAAAACTAGGCTTCAGCAAAATATCTACTCATCATTTAACATTATTTTCAGTTTACTTTTACTATCCGTATCTACAAACTGAATTTTCAGGATTGGTAATCTTTTCAAATAGTATCTTTACATAATATATGTTATTTTCTCTTCTTACAAACAGCAATCTAGAAAAGATCAACATACCTCAAATAGTTAACAAAACCTATAAATCACTATAACACATTCATATAAGGCCACCCCTACATGTCAATGAATGCTAAATCCAACTCATATAGGTAGTGTTGAAGCAAGTAAGAAGAGATGAACAGGTATAAGACATCCAGAGTCATGCGTATGACATCTTCATATAAGCTCAGTGCATATTCAAGTTCCTATACACATTCGGAATGGATATTACATGTAGTTCCAATAGAAATAACCATGAAATTGTAGCAAAGACTTTTCAAAGAGTAAAGTTACAGTGAAAAAGAAATGAAATAAATGGATGCTCACAATGGGCTTCTAGAAATTCACATTTCTATTTAGAATAAAATTCTTTTACACCATTAAGTAGAATATAAGTTTCTATATTAGAGGCAGAACAGCCTCACAGGAAAACATATACTCCCAAGACATGAAACCTGGCTCTGTATACAGCGGACTATGTGACCTTGGGCAGATAGCTTCTCTACGCCACAAATCTTCCTCACCCCCAAACTGAAATCAATTTATAAATAAATTTTCTGCAAACTAAATCTAATGTGAAATTTTAACATTTCAGTCATACACTTAAAAAGGATAAAACTTATTTCACAAAAACTAAAAAGAAAAACAACAAAATTTTCTAAAGCCAATGAAAAATGATCATAATTATATCTACTTAACGAAACACTCTCAGCAATTTTAGATGTACTTGAATATAACTGAATATAGTAAATAGAATTCTATCATCTACAAATGAATCATATTGCAGTTATCACATAAACTGAGGAAAGAAAATCAAGATATTTTCCTTAAGGCAATAGGCAGGATGTCAATCAAAGACAAAGTAAAACAAAGTATGATAAGAATCTATTACATATTTAAGACTAGAGTACATAGGTAATAGTCTGGATACTTTTTTACATACATATATCCAGAAAAAAGGCAATTTGGGGGCACCTACTCAGCAATTGTCTTAATGGAGCTAAATGTTTAAACTGTCTCTAATTAGTAACACTTTACGGGCTGTATATAGTAAATGAGTTAATACATACATGATACGTAAACCATTCTAGTACATAGTAAATACCAATAAATGTCAGTCATTATTAAAATCTTTACCACAAATTCTCAGAATTTAAAGATAATTTATCTTATCAACCCCCTAAAGCATAAATCTATTTTTTAATCAATGAACAGGAAGAATAACCTAAAATCTTAAAACAAGAAAAATTTTGCATCAAACTTTTATTTTCTATGAAAATACTGTGACTGTAAAGATCTTATACTAGTAATCAGTAGTGTTTTCATTGCATTTAAAATCAAGACGTTCTTCCTATTTTTAAATAAAAATTAAGATACGTGTTACTGACTAAACCATTGAACGACAAAAGTTAAATTTAAAAAAGTTTAATTGACTGATTTTTCTAGGCCAATAGTCTTTAAAAAGATTTTTTAAAAAGAAAGAAATTTAAAATGGAATCACCCAAAAAAGACAAACCTAATGATTATTTTGTACACATGTTTGTGTATGTGCATGTGTTAGTGTGCAGGTACACAAGTGGAGGCTAGCCAAAACATGGGCTGTCTTCCTCTAAGGCTCTCCTCCTTATGGCCCTGAGATGGAGTTCTCACTGAATGAGAAGCTTGCTCTTCAGCTAGCTTGCTGGCCAGCAGAGTCCCAGGATCCACTTGTCCCTGTACCTCAATGCTGGGAGGGGCTCACATAGCCATGTCCAACTTTTATGTGGGTGTTGGGGATTCAAACTGAGGTCCTCATATTTACAGAGCAAAAGCTGTTCTTACCCTGGAGCCATCACCCTAGCTTCAAACATAATGATTTTAAAAAGCATTTAAAATAAATTTTGCAAAGTCAAGAGACTAAAAAAAAATTATTTTAACATTTTAAGTGAAAAAATTTTTCTTACGTTATAAATTTAAAGTTTATACACATCTACCTTTGAAGAGCTCATTATCTCCACGGATTAGAATTCTGAACAGGAACTGCTGACAACCCTGAAGGAATGCCAGCCTCAGAAGACCCAAGTATATCTCCAGGGACTCAGGAAGAAATACAAATGTAATCTCCCAATATATCCCATGCTGAAAGCAACTGGCAGAGATGAAGGCGTGTGAAAGTCTACACTGATTTCTTCATTTTGATGTGACAGAGGATTCAGTAACAATGTATATAATCAGAATGTTCACTTTGTATCTACTGGTAGCTTTTAAACATCTGCATTAAACCTGTGTACTTAGACTGCCAACAAAAAACACCTTATAGTAAGAAACTTTTATCCACAACACTTTTTGAACTAAATCTCAGTATGAACTGCCTCAAATTAAGAATCACAAACTAAGGATGTTTTCATATGAATGAATTTGTCTTGATGTTTTATTTCAAAATTTATTCCCTCACAAAGGTCATACAAAATTATCACTTCCAATTTTTGTATGCAGTTTTTGTGATGAGAAATGTTACTAAGTTAGTTATTATATCTCATATCTTGTATTGCTAGATCTGCAATTACACCTTGAACATACTCATACTACACTCCCTAAAGAATTCATACCCAAACTACTTAGCATTGAAGTACCGAAGTATATCATTGTTACAGTTCTTCTCTATGTACCATGTAAATCTCTATCCAAATAGACTAATAATTCATGTTTAATATATAAGAGAGAGGACATGAAATATTTTTTACCTCTAGAAGAGATTGTGATTTAATCCAAGGAAAGATTTTAGTTCTGTGTAGGAAAAATAAAAATATAAATTATCCAGTTTTCTCTCACCCCATCTGTCATCTTTCTATTTTGCTTTTTACTCAGTAGGTTTCTAGTATAAGAGGCAAGGTCAAAGGATTCTTATTTGCATGAGAATCAGATGAGGAATGAACAGCTGGTAGCCTAAGGAAAGATATAACTGGATCAGGAGTCTTCCAGCACCAGAAAGAAGAAAAGATCCAAATAATGGAATCAAATAATTCAATTATGTACTGTGCAGCTAACAGTTCCAACAGAAAGTCTCAGAGCATATCCATCTCTCATAACCCCACTCCATGGCAGCCAAGTTAAGAGATGATAAAGATGCATAACTGGGCTCTTAAAAGCTGATGTAAAGCCAGACAGAGCCCGACCTTTAAACTCAGTTCAAGTCAGAAGTGCTTACTGAAGATTTTTAATGATCTGGAATATTACAAAGCATATCAACCAAGAATAAAGCATATAAGCTTCAGGCTCACAATTAGTTAGACCAGCATAATAATAACCAAAAATCTAGATGGACATTTCAAAATCCTATAAAAAAGAATGAGTGTGAAATGAGGAAAAAAGTGATTAGAAGGCAGCCATTAAATTGTTTTGAAGATGAGACATTTAAAATGCATCTTCTACACACTCTTTTTGTCCCACCTATCACCAACCGCTCTGTGTACACTGCACATTAACACTGCTCTCCTCATCTCACTCTTTACACTGCCAGAGCATCTTCGGAATCCAAGCACCATCTTCGGAATCCAAGCAGCATCATGCTTCTTGTCTGTAACTCCTCCTCACCTCCTTGGCTTTCTCAGTCCTTTGTCCAATTCCCTTCTTCACAATGAAGCCAGTATGATCTTATATTGGCTGTCATTTTCTTTGAAGATTTTTTTTTTGACCAGGAGTTTCATTAGACAAAATTTAAACTCCACTGCATAGCATACAAGCTATTCAAAGTCTGACCTCCATTTATTTGCCAGCCCTTAGCTCCTGTCATTTTTTTCTATGCTTCTCTACCCATCCGGAAGCCATCTCACACCTCAGCAATTTATAGAACATAACATCCTCAATGCTTTCACACACTGATCCTTCTACCTTGTAAATTCCTCTCTAGTCTTGAAGTTTGAGCTGCAATGCTACTTTTCTGTAAAAAACACTCCTGATTTCCTTAGTCCTCTGTATTTATCCTGATCCTGATAAAACTATCTTTACTGTAGGTATTTTATTTGGAGATTTTTTGGGGGGGGGTGTTTTGTTAAAACAGGATATCCCTGTTGTCCCAGCTGGCTTAGAACTCATTATGAAGACCAGGCTGGCCTAGATCTCACAAAGATCCACCTGCCTCTGCCTTTCTCTCCAGTGCTAGGATTTGTTTTTGTATGTATCCATACAAAACAAGCTCTAAGATTCTTGATGACAGAGTATTTTCATATTTGTTTAAGAGGGTTTGGCAGACATTCAATGTTAATTAATGAATACCAGTAACAGCTAGTATTCTTTGAACACCTAAATTCTGTGTAGCATTTAAGTGGTTCATTAGACCTGCCCCATTTAATTCTCATCATAACCCCTCACTATTAGCATCACATCAGCATCATCTCATTTTACTAACAAAGCCACACAGGCTAGTAGTAATTCATACAAGACCAAATTCAAAAGCCCAGCATTCTGAGACTACAATAGCTCATGCTTTTAAATCAGTATGATGAAGACATAAACAAGAACTAGATAAAGACAGGGAGACAGAGATGTGCTAATGAAGGAGATAGGAAGTACTAGTGAAAACTGGCCAGGGTAAGTAGACAACAGGGGAAAGAATTACAATGTAAATTTCATTCTAAACACATTGGACATAACCCTACAGTATAACCTACTGATTCCCATAGTAACAGAATGAACTGAGTAAAAGGCATTTTGCAGAGTTCCTTTTAGTTCATTAGGTTAGGCAAAATTGGCAGGCTTATTTTTTTAGTATTATTATAGAATTTCATGATGGTAAAACAGATTAAGATTATGTATTATAGTTTCCCAAACTTACTGGAACCCCAAATCCCTCCATCAATGATCTCATGGGCCTACTGTTCAAGGGAACAGTTTGAGATCCATGTGCTGACCCCTCAAAATGCATGTTGTAAACTGACCCTTGCTCACTGATTTCCAAGTCAAATTAGGCCAATTAAAGCAGAATACAGGAAGTATAAAAAGTATAGTAAGATGTATTAAAATGTTCTGCAGTAACAAAAAGCTGTTCTCTGTATATGTCTTCATGCTGAATGAGTACAATAGCATTTACCTAGCATGACTAACAAGTTCCTTGTACACATAAGGTCTTTCAATCGGAAGTTAACAAGTTACTCAGGAAGTTGTTTTATTTGTCTTTGTATAAAATATTAAACTAAAAATATAATAATCATTAAATTGGATTGGGAAAAAGTATTCTGATTTAGAAATATATTTAAAAGGCATTATAAAAAGCAAAAAGTTACCACTATAATATCATAGTGTATATTTTGATAGCAAAGGGTTACCATAGCTTATAAAATTTCTATCTATACCAATAGCACAAGTAACAGTACAAAACACACAGGAATATATTTAACCATATACATAATTTTACAAGGTCAGATAAAGTTGTTTTAACATTTTATGTACAAAATGTATTTCACAATTTCATAATCAATTAAATGTAGACAACTCAAGGTGGACAGTTAAAAACTATCTATTTGAGCCACACATAATGGCTCACACCTTTAATCCCAGCATCTCAGAGGCTGAGGCAGGAGGACTGCCATGAATTCCAGGCCAGGCTACATAAAGAGTTTCAGGCCATGAGGTCAGTGTGAGACCCTGTCTCAAAACAACAACAAAAAAGGACACATTGGAATAAGGCATTTTCAACAATCATTTTACCAACCAATACTAGACATATATATATATATATATATCAAAGTTAAATAAATGCTGACATAAATTTTCAGGCTATGGACCACATTTGCTACACACTCTTTTCAAAAAATTTTCTAGTAAATAAGTGAGCATTCACTCTTAATTTTAAAAAGTGCTAGATATGGAAATGGTGACTATAACTCACATATTACCACAAAAAGGGAGGAATGGCATACATTAAATTAAATCTAAAATACCTAAATGTTCTTCCTCTAACTCAAAACTAGCACTTACTTGGAAAATTAAAGATCAAGACAATATACAAGAATTACTGATACTCTGAAGTCTTTCCTACTAAAGACAGTAGCCTGCCACCTGTCAGAACGTGCTGAAGAAAACACACAGGGTAACAGAAGTACCACATTTCTGATCCACAACAAATTTAACACAGTGGATAAACTTTGTACCGAAAAGCACTTATGCACTCTTACTACTTATGCACTCTTTTTTAAAGTTCTTTTCAAAGTTTAGGGATTAGGGACAGAAAACATGCTTTTCTTACCTATCCGGTCAAATGTTTTCTCACACTTGGGACACTGAAGTATCTTTTTGTTCCTGTTCTGAATGACAACTGGACGCAGTCCCTCCTGACCACTTCCTGCGGAATCTGCAGCCTCGGCTTCCTCTTCTGGATCATCTTTTTCACTTGGATCGGTGTCAGAGGACTCCTCTGACATCTCCTCCTCCAGCTCATCTTCTTCGACATTATATTCACTCCCAGGGTCCTCAGAATCATTTCTATCTGACTTCTCCTTATCAAAAACGTCTTGATTCAAATTGTCCGACCCATCACCACTTTCTTGTTCATCATCACTAGTGTCATCAAACTTTACAGGACACTTGCGAGTCCTTTTCGATCTTCTGGCAGAAAAACTTCTCTCCAGCATCTTTAACCCATGTTTTTTCCCCAATAAAAGAGACCTATGAGTTTTCGCCAAATGATTCTCTAAGGACTTTTTATAACAGAAATGTCTACTACAAAATTTGCACTGATGATTATTTGATAGTCTTCCAGTTAATTCATTTAGTGTTTCTTCTGGTGAGCATTTATCCGTTAGCTCAGACTGAAAAGTAGCAACATTTTCATTATTTAGCAGTTTGACTGCATCGATAATATCCAAAAATTTTGCAGCCTCTAAAACAAGAGGTATTTCATATTTGTACACAAAAAACTCTGATGTGTAAAGAAACTCAAGCAAATGCTGAAAAACCGAATGGGTTACGTGATCCAGGGTGACGACATCCGTGCTTGGATTTTTGCTCAAACACGCATGAAAATAGCTACTGCCCACAGCAACTACTACTTTATGTGCACTAAATTCCTTTCCTTCTACTATGATAAGTAAATCACAGAAAGATGGCTGCTTCTGCCTGTCATCGTTCAAATACTTCAGCAAATTCTTATTATACTGCAAAGAACTCAAAAGCTTTCTCTGATCAGGAGAAGGAGGAAGCTCCTGACAGCAGGGACGCGCTTCAGGGGTGGGTCTTTCTGTAGAACGAGTACAGGTCACTTGGCCACACTCCACTACAACATTTTCTTCCGAAGAATCTTTACGATAGCCTAGATGGATCTTCTCGTCTAGATCTGAAGGAACCCTTCTCCTTTTCTTCATTGCAGTACTGCAATTTCTCAACAAGAAACTTCATAAGTGACTTAAGAGATGTCGCAAAGAAAACTAGATTGTCAGCATCAGCTTCTGGAGGGGCGTGCCCCGCCGGTTCATGATCTGCAAAAGGGTGAGACTCAACGTCAAGACTCCGGGCACCGCAATCGTAAACAATCAAGGCGGTTGTCAACTAATCTTTCCTAAATCATAAGTAAAGTCTGACTAAGTCAAGCTTGCGCTCCTTAGAGGCTGAGATTTGGGGCGGAGAGGAGGAGGGCTGGGTTACGAAAGACAAGCAACAAAAGAATAATGTGGAGGGAAGCCAGAGCACACCTTCCAGGCCCGATTCAGGAATCAGGTGGAAACCCGTGGACAGAAAACAGAGCGCTTCCTCCATACCCTGCAGCCGCGGGCTGCAGCCGCGGCTCCGAGCGCTGGGGCCGTGACAATAAGGCCCGCGGGGCCCGGATCGCGGGTCTCCTTTAACACTCTTTCCCCCACCAGCGAGGCGCCGCTCCCGAACCGCAGACCTAAAGCCTGCAGCGAGGCGCGGGGCAGGACGGCACCCGGGTCACAGGAAGCGCAGCCTTCTCAGACCCGCGGCCGCCCGGGGCGCGCCGGCCCAGCAGTCCTGACCCTCCCCACCCTGGAGGGGGACAGCGCCCGTCAGGCCCATTACCCAGAACCCAGGGCTCCCCCGCCGGCTCCAGGACGTCGAGCTCCGCCGCCGCGCGCTCGCGCCCACCCACTTCCGGGTCCGGCCCCCCACCTCAGACCTCCGCGGCGCTCTTTCCCTTCGCGGAGTCCCGCCGCCGCCGCTCTCCAGCACGTCAGCCGCACGCAGCCGCCTCGCCGCCCGGACAGGCCGGCATAGCCAGGGCGCATGCGCGCGCCTCCTTTTGGCGCATGCTCCCCGAGCTCCCTCCGCCTCCTGGGGAACCCTAACGTCGCCGCGAATCCGTTACTCCGGGTTTTCGTGGCGACTTGGGAAACTAAGGTGACTACACCAGAGTATCCCGGCTGCTGGAAGGGAAATGAAAGACCGACTGATGAGTTAGAGGAAATTGGCCGAGGACAAGGACAGCGAATCCCTTTGTCCCTTGTGTCTTCACTACTTCGTTGTTGAGCAGCAACCATCCCACAATGCCAGAGCCCAAGAAACTGGGCTTGACGTCGCGAGATTTACATATACTTAAGAGTTAAGCGCACCTAAAGTTATGGAAGGTTGTTTTTGGTTTTGGGTTTTTTCCCCCTTAACATTATAAAGAGAAAAATGTACGTATAGGTGTAAAGCTGATAGGAAAGACACGAAAGCCAAAACAAAAAACATCTGAAAAAGAGCGGCTGCTTGAGATCTTCTGTCTCTGACAAAACCCCAGGTGGTCGGATCTTGCTCATCTGAGGATCATAGTGGCTAGTAAGGTCCTGGATCTGGTTTGTTCAAATATAAAGAAAGACAAAGGCTGCAGCCAGGATAAATGGATGCCCCTCTTCACCCTTAGCTTCACTACCTTCATAACTCCCACAGGAACAGCTGGGAATCTGAAAAAGCCTCCCTCTCCTTAGAAGAAATGGGCGGAGACTTCTGTCTGAACTTTTGTTTCCTTCAGTATGACTGGATGTTGCAGTGAGGGTGCTATTTAGATGCACTTAATGGCCAGTGTGTAAGGCTGATGGCTCTCCATTAATGCGGCGCACCTCATCCTGTCAGTAGAAGGCTTCAAGAGCAAAGAATGACTTTGTCAAATAAGCAACTCCTCCCCGAGACTTCAACTAGAAACCCTGCCAGAGATGTCACCCTAGAAGAATTCAGACTGAAAACCGGATCTTCAACTCTTACCTAAAATTTCCAGCCTGTTGGGCTTTGTACTATGGATTTTTGGATTTACCAGTGCCCACAATCACATGACCTAACTCCTTGAACTAAATCACATCGATCTTACCTCTCTTTCCTGTTGTCCGTTTTCTGGCTGGTTCTACCAGCAGCAAGAAATAAGAAACAAAACCGAAAAACAACACCTTTATGATCTCCTCAGTCACATACCACTAAGAAGGGAGCCAGGGACTCAAGGGCCTATAGGGAGAGGGCAGAGGAAGAGGCCAAGAAAGGGGATCTTCACCCACCCAAATTCCCAGTCTTTGTTCTACGGATCTGTCATGGTCTTTACATCCTTTAATAAGATGTTTCTCTGGCTGTTTCTAAAACTGAAAATGATTTTCTGCACCTATTCATTAGATATTCATGGAACTTTTTTTAAAACCAGGAATGTGACATTTAAATTTTAATAAACATAATTCTCAATGACATCACATATAAAATGCCCCCCAAAATATTATTTTCCACTTTTATGCGAAGTCTCTTCAATAGAGCCAGCAAACTTCTCTATCAGTGGCCAGATATAAATTTTTTTCCTGTTCTTTTTCCTTCCTGTTTATTTTTTTTTAATTTTTTTTATTTTTTTGTCTTTTATGAGACGGTCTCTCTGTAGCTCTGGCCAGATATAAATTTTTTTCCTGTTCTTTTTCCTTCCTGTTTATTTTTTAAAAATTTTTTTATTTTTTTGTCTTTTATGAGATGGTCTCTCTGTAGCTGCAGCTGTCCTGGAACACACTATGTAGATCAGGCTGGCCTCGAACTCACAAAGATCCACGTGCCTCTGCCTCCCAAGTGCTGGGATTAAAGGCCTGTGCCACCACACCCGGCCTGTGTTTATTTTTAATGTAAAATTATTCCTACATAAAAAGTCATTACAAAAACAAATCATTGATTATTTTGGTTCATCAACAGCCATTTTCTTATCACTTCATTTAATACAAACCTCAGAAAAATTAATAACTAAATAATTGAGAATATGTTCTCCTAGACCCTCTGTGCTGGATAACAAAATGCTCCAAACTGGATAATTTACATGCAACAGAATATTATCTATCATAGTTCTAAAGTCTGAAATATCCAAGATCAAGGTTCTGACATTCAGTGTCTTCTAAGGGCTTTTTTTTTTTTTTTTCCTGTGTCCTTACATGGTAGAAGGGGTGTTCTCATGCGAATGGCAAAAGGGTTACAAAAAAAAAGTCCTAAGGCTAGTTCCACTAAGCCCTTTTTAGAAAAAGGCACATTCATTCAGGAGGGCAAAACTCACTAGACTGGAGATTAGTTTCATGAGTAGCACTTCCCTGTCATTTCTAGAGATACTATCTGGCAGCAAGTGTCCTGGTCCCCTAATAATGACAACCAATCCCCCCGCCCCCAATTCCATGATATTCCCTGACCCTTAGGTAGAGGGATCATATTGCATATGTACCATTTGGGGTTGGAACCAATGGTAACTAATTCTCTGCATTTTGACCAGTTTTGGGTCTCTGTAATAGCCTCCCATCTGCTGCAAAAAAAGAAGTTTGGTAAGGAGTGAGAGCTACACTTACCTGTGGGTATAAAGCTCAGTGTTTAGAATACAGTTAGAAATCATATTGCTTTAGGAAAATGGCAGTAGTAGGTCTCCTCCAGGGTCTTTGTCTTCTCCAGATGTGGGTACTTGGCTAGGTTTACAGTACCAGGAATGAATCCTCCCCCCAACCCCTTGAGCAGGCCTTAAATTCTATTAGCTATTGGTAGGACTCCCTTCAGGAGGAGGCCTTTCGGTCACTTTCAGCTCTATTCCTCTAAGTCCTGGGTCCAAGTGTGTGGTGTCTTTAGCAGTGTGGTCTTATCTAAGTTCTGGGAAACAACCAGAACCAATGGCAATACTGTTTTGGGTGTTTCTTGGATCGTCCTATGAAGCCAGTGCCTGGCATCAGAGTTTCTGTTAGTCTAAGCTTTTGTAGGGAGCATAATCTCCCTGTGTGGTATAACTCTGTGTGTGTGTGTGTGTGTGTGTGTGTGCGTGTGTGCGCGCATGCATGTGTGTGTGTTTAAGCTTATAAAATATTTCCTTTATGGCCTTTTGAAATAGTCTTATTTTTTGTCTCTCCCTCTTCACTCTTAGTTAAAGCTGCCTCTCCTGTTTTTTTTTCTTTCCCTCTTCATAATACCTATGTCCTATTATCTCCCCCTCTAGAACTCTTTTCCCCTTACCCTCATTGTCCCTTTCTGCTTTTCTGACTTCTGCAGCTACTTCAAGTTATATTCTTAATCAAAATATTCAGCGCTTCCTAGCACTTGGGAGGAAGAGGCAGGCAGATCTTTGTGAGTTTGGGGCTAGCCTGGTCTATGTAACAAGTTCCTGGGGCTACAGGGAGACCCTTTTTCAAAAAGACAAACAAAAATATATTCAGAGCTAGGATCCACAAATAAGAAAGACTCTTACCTCACTCAGGATATTTTCCAGTTCCATCTATTTACCTGCAAGTTTCATTATTTCATTTTTCTTTACAACTGAATAGAATTCTGTTGTGTGTACATACGACATTTTCATTATCCAATCATCAGTTGAAGGGCATTTAGGTTGCTTCCATTTCCTAGCTATTGTGTGATAAGAAAAGCTACAAACATTATTAAGCAAGTATGTCTGAGTAGAATATTTGTTGTCATTTGAGTATACGCCAAGGAGTGATATAGCTGGGTTATATGGTAGATCTACTTTTAGCTCTTTGAGAACTCTCCACATTCATTTCTATCATGATTGCTTCAATTTGCAATCTCCTCAACAGTGAGTGAGAGTTCCCCCTTCCCCACATCCTCATCAGCATTTGTTGTCGGTTGTTTCCTTGCTCTTAGTCATTCTGACTGGTGCAAGATGAAATCTCAAAGTAGTTTTAATTTACATACCCATGATTGTGAATGATATTGAGCACTTTAAAGATATTTCTTAGCCATTTTTGTTTCTTCTTTTGAGAATGGTGTGTTCAGATCCTGTTCTAGCTAGCTTTCTATTGCTTTAATAAAACACTCCTGCATCACTCAATAATCAAGAAAATGACTCACAGACATGCTCACAGGCCAATCAATCAGAGGAAATTCCCCTCTGAAGAGCCCTCTTCCTAAGTCGTCAAGTTGAGAAGCAGCTATCCATAGGCCATTTTTTAACTGGGTGTTTGTTTTCTTACTCTTTGGGTTTTTTGTTGTTTTTTTTTTGTTGTTGTTTTGTTGTTGTGTTCTTTGTGTATTCTGGATACTAATCCTCTATTGGATATATTGTTGGCAAAGACTCTCTCCCCATCTGTGGACTTCCTCTTCAATTGTTTATTCTGCTTTACAAAGCTTTAGGTTTTATGGAGTCCCACTTGTCAATTGTTGGCCTTAATTCCTGAACTAATGCAGTCTTTCAGTTCAGAAAATCCTTTCTTCACCTATACCCTGTAGAGTTCTGCCTGTTTTCTTCTAACACTTTCAGCACTTCAGGTTTCACATTAAGGTCTTGTGCAGGGTGACAGATACTGGTCTAATTTCATTCTTTTACATGTAGGCATCCAGTTTTTCCAGCACCATTTGTTTTTTTCCGTCTAGTGTGTATTTTTGGCAACTTTGTCAAATATCAGGTGGCTTTATTTTCATGAACTTGCATTTGGGTATTTATTTATTATTTATCTATTGGTATTTTTGTTGTTTTGGTTTATGTTTTTTGTTTTTCTTGAGACAGGGTTTTTCTGTTGCCCCAGATGACCTGAAACTTGCTAAATAGATTAAGCTGAACTTTATCTCACAAAGATGCACCTGCCTCTGCCTCCCGAGTGCTGGGGTTAATGAAAGGTACCACCACATCCAAGCAGGTCTTCTCTTTTGTTCCTGCATACCTGTTTTGTGGCAGTACCATGCTGCTTTTATTGCCATAGCTCCATAATTTAGCTTGAAATCTGGTATGGTTATACCTCC